AGTACCGCCATTATCGCAATTCGGTTCCTCGCGCTAACGCTTTCAATTTCAACGACTCCAAACAGATGACGATCTACAAGGTAATTCTTGAAGTGCGGAGTTTTTGTTAAGTTGACGTTTCAATATGGAATTTATTGCAGAAGATGAAACCAAGGGAGTAGAAATCGTACTAAATAAAGTTGAAGAATATGTAAAAAACAGTGTTGCTATATCGAAGGAAGCAAACTATAGAGCATTGCACGAAGCAAAAGCATCTCCAACGCAAATAATGTAAGGGAATGTGTAAATCACTCGTCATTGGGCTGAGTTTTGCCTCCAAAACTGAACGACAAGTCACAAAATATTTCAGGTTCAATCTGAACCCACCGACTGCCTCAAAAGTATGAAAGTCAAACTTAGGCACAGGTTCGAATAGTACATCAGAACCGTATCACAATCAAATAATACCACTTAATACCCCTTCCGACCTACTTCATGCTACAATCCTCGTGCAACCTTCAGATACTATAGATCGGATATCTTTCTTCATTTGGAGACTTAGAATGAAAAGGAATTTCCAGATCCTAACAGAACCGTTAAAATTCAACCTGGTGTGCTTTCGTAAGTCCTGGTATGGAAACCATCGAATCCGAGTTCAGTAATAGCTCCTATCGGAATCGATTCCTACTCCGGTGTCGTTCCATTGTAGTGCTCATTAACAATGATGGTATGTTTTGAAATTGCTTAAATCGAAGTCGAAAGTAATCGATTTCAAGACTTTGATCGAAACCATGAAATCGAATCACCAGAAGAAACGATTCGGAGAAGCTCTACAAAGCTGACCCCTGGTAGTGCACGATACGGTAAATTTACGATCGAAGTAATAGTTAGATGGAGTATGTAGAAAATAATGTATTACCCCAAATATTTCCCTCATGTATAAAAATGCCATAAGAGGTGTGGAATTATCGCAAAATTACAGCGAAAATGTCCCGTTACCTAGACAATGGGAAATTTCCAGTGCTCAGTAGGTATCGAAAATTTCCCTGTAGTTCCATATTACATATATATAAACTATAAATTTTATAGTTACGATTGATGAAATGTGCATTTGTTATCTTGACATATGCTATTCGTCATTATTCGTCAGAGCGGTCCGGTGGACCTTTGCTCTTAGTTAAAAGTCTCGTCGGACTGTTAGTCTGTCAGGTCTGGCTACCCAGATACCAAACATGTTTATCTTGGCATGCTTAAATATTTAATTATAAAAGTCGTTGTAATGTCACGTTTCGGAAATGATTAATTCGAGAACAAGTGATCAAAATTAAACCTAAAAATACAAAACAATTTCGAACTTAACACATACTTTTACTCTTTCAATTCGGGAAATATTCTAATTCATCGTGTGCATCAAAATAATTTACCATTCAAGCTTGTTGTCAGTAAAAACTGGCCGGTTAATTTCATATTCCTTCGGAGTCGGGCTCTTTCGCCAAAATATAAAAATAACTTCATGCAGCTTTAGACAACATGCTTTCATGAAAAATTATCGGTAATTTTGATGCACTTGTGTAATTACTTCCAATAATTATAACAGCAATATAACTCCGAGTGGGTTTTGACTGACTTCACAATTTGCCTCCATCGGGTACAGTCTTCCATCACACTCGGTTCAAATCCTCAACTCTTTTCACTCCGTCCAAGCATACCTTTAACTATTATCATTCAATTTTCGAGGAGGTAAATATCATCTGCGTAAGCTAGGAAAGGCTTTGGACCTTCAGCTGTTAATTAGAGTCGATTATTTACTATAATATATCCAACGAACGTACGGAGCAATAAAACAAGTGACAGGGCAGCCCGATTTACACCGCACAACTACCTGCAAAACCGATAATGCGTTATCGCCATTGGTGTGTAGCTTTTAAAATTAATTGAGGTACCATTTACTTTATTTTCACTGTATCTTCTATCTTTTCATTACTTTCAAGGTGCTATAATGTTTATGACATTGATATATTAAATATGCTGCCCCAGTTAACTTTACATAGTTTTATGTTACAAAAATAGTTTTAATACCTGGGAAAAAAATAAAGAAAAGGGCTCAAAAATTAAATTCTTTTTTAGATTGGATTCTGGATCTTTCTAATATAATACCTAATAATGAATCTGCCTGCACTCATTACCACATTTATTTCGACAGCTCTATCCGGAAAGACTGTAAAGTGGATTATCCCAATCATGTGTAATCCTGACCGTTTATTTCGGCAATCCACAAGTCAAACCAAAACTGATAAAATCTTGGAGGGGCTCCTTCGAAATCAGCCGTCAGGATTAACACAGGATTGGGATAACCTACTTTGAAGTCTATCCGGATAGAGCCGTAGAAATAAACGTGGTACGGTAATTATATAAGTATGTTTAGAGATATAGGTGCTTCGTCATTATCCAGTAAATATACAAACTACATTTATTATCTAATCTCTATCACTATCAGTATAATCTGAAGATTCTGTTACATGTTGTTCCGCGGTGTAAAAAAGCTGCTTTGCATCTGCGATCTTGAAAGTTGTGTTTTTTCTAGAAACTTCGTTTCTAATTTGCACCCAAAAGTCCGATTGGTAGATTTAGCCATTTCGTCGATGACATTCTTGTCAGCACTTTTATTGCCTTTGACCAGATTAAAAAGTTATGCTTTGACCATATCGTTGTCAAGGGGAACATTATGCCTTGGTAGTCATTCCTGTATTTCTCCGTTTCTGTTTCCACTGTTTGGGGTTTTATCAATACGCCTACTATCGTATGAAACATTGTCCATAACAATGATAGCGTTCTCTTCTAAACGGCTTATAATATTTTCAAACCATTCTTCAAATAAATTGACATTCATATCGGCGTGGTAGTCTTCTGCTTGTTTTGATCCAAATACGAATAGTCTATCTTCCACGAATCCATTATTAGATCAGATGTGAAAGATAATTAGCCGGTTTCCTTTACCTGAAGGATTTTTTAATCCCGTGGAGACCTTCCAGGAAGGCTTGCCGAAGATGCTCAACTGATGAATCCACCCATGCTTTGCTAACAGTGTGCCCTGCATTGAGCCAAGTCTAGGTAGTATATCTTCCTGCCTCATTCTCTACGAGCCCCTTCCCACTTAGACCTATAACTAATAGAACATCTGAACAAATAAACAATGTGCGAATAAATGCGCGAAGTTAACAAAGCAACAATTGAAAGATTACCATTGGGTAACATCTCCTTTATTTTTTATTACAGCAGCTGAAATTCTTTGGGGCATAGTGTTAACCAAGTTTTGGCAAACATTTGGTGTAAAACAATCCCATATTTCTTGAAGCTTTTGTCTCATTTCAAAAGTGGTACATTATTTTCTTCCATCCACTTTATACCCTTTTTTTAAGTATGGCACGCTGCACCATCTTGCTGAAACACGAAATCTTGGCCGGATGTCAAACATTCTTCCATCACTGGTAAAAGCGATTCTTCTAAAATTGCCAAATATTTGTTTGTATCCACTTTTACATCAATAAAATGAAGTTTTCCTACTCCTTTTGATGACATACTGCCCCACACCATAATGGATGCTGGAAATTTCACTTTTCGCTTCAGACAGTCAACATGAAATAGTTCATTTTTTGCGAATAACGCTACTGCGTCTGTCACCAACACAAACTTCGGATCGGGCCTCATCACTCCATTATATTGCACACCATTGTTGAGGTGTCCATTGTCTATGTTCTTTAGCCCATCTAAGTCGATTTTTCTTTTGCAATGGAGTTAATAGTGGCTTTTCTTTGGCCTATAAACAAGTTGTGCAACTTTAGGGTTTTTACTTCACTTTTTTTTATAAGAAAACTTACCTTGCAAGTGCTAAATCCCAGTTTGTGGGCCTCTCTATGAGTTGTGGACCTCGAAATTCTCCTTCCAACAGCGTCACTCCACAAAGCACTTAATTGTAAATAATTGGCACGCCTGTTTTTCACGATTATTCTTCTTAATGCTCTTCGGTCGGCATTTGTGATATTGCTTTTTTTTCACATATCGTGGCTTAATATTAACTGAACCAGTTACATCTTCTAACAATATTTCTCACACTGTACCGCGATAAGTCTAACAAAGTTGCAATTTCTGAGTTTGATTTCCCAGAATTAAAAAATTTAATTATCAGTAACCGAATTTTCTCACTAATAACCTTTCCTCTACCCATTTTGAAAACCTTAACTACCCAAAACTATTTTAAACGTATTATGACAGCTGTGATTAATAAAAACAATTGTCATGGCTTTTATTTTTCACAGCCACCTATGCGTTATAGACTTATTTTGCATTGAAATGAAAATAGGTTGATATGCTGTAATTGCAACATGTGTTATTTTTATGCTGCAAATTTGATTAGGGAGTGATAAAGTTGGTGTTTTCTACTATATATTATCAAAATATTCATTGTTAATATTTTAAACCTATAACACCCTGCTACATTTTTATTATTTGTGTTTGATAAGAAAAAAAACTAAGATTTCAATAGTTGGGCTAACTGAAGTGGGAAGGGGCTCGTATACTTCCAGATTTCGGGTAAGTATCTACGTCTCCAACATATTATCTCGTCCTTTTCTTTCAAGATGATATGTCGCTTCCTTCCTACAAAAGTAAAAATTACATTAAATCTTTAAAGTCGTTAATTCAATGAACCATATTACACACAAAAAAATTCAATCGCACGTCACAGACCTTCGGATAGAATTACAGTGCTATTGTGAACTTGGCGGCTTTTCTACCGAAATCGGAGCAACACGAACGAGGCGCGTGCCGGTCAGATGATGTATTACTCCGTAGGTTCGCTGGATAAATTATAGTACCCTGGCTGTATTGTTATTTACGAATATTTTGATAATGTTCTGCGATTTTGTGTGCTCCCTAGGAACCGAGAATGCAGATAACGTATTTTATCATATATCATTGATTTTTTTAACTATTGTTGTCACCATTTTGTCCTATTATTCCAGGAGTCGCGCGGAAAGAGGCCCTTCAAGCTATGGGACGGGCGGCGTAGTGTACGGAAGGGGCTGGTGGTGGGCAGCCTCGAAGAGTTGGTGCAACGTGGAAGGGACAAGTTGGGCGTGAACGTCGGCGAACCGGTACGACTGGTACTCGAATCGGACGGCACCCAGGTCGAGGACGGCGAGTACTTCCGGACGCTGCCCGCCAATACGATATTGCTGCTACTCAGGCCGGGAGAACGATGGTTGCCGGCTGGCGTCGACGTCATCAAAGCAGGTACAGATTACTGTCTAAATATTATTTACGAGGGGTATCCAAAAAAAACCGGAATTCTCTTTTAAAAGCTATTTATTTTCAACTTTTTCACAAAGTTCCTTCAAAATACTGTCCACTACAACTAATACACTTGTGCCACCGGTGTTTCCACTGCTCGAAACATTTTTTGAAGGCTTCCTTAGAAATGTCTGACAGCTCCTGCCTCGTTTTTTTCTTGACCTCTTCAATGTCGTTAAAGCGGCGTCCTTTCATCCGTTGAAGTAAGAAAAAGTCGCACGGAGCCAGGTCAGGCGAATAAGGTGCGCAGCTGCATTATCGTGGTGGAAGGACCAGTCTCCTGACTGCCAGAATTTGGGTCTTTTTGCCGATCTCTTTCGCAATCGTCTTAAAACCTCCAAATAGCACGAGCTCTCGAATTTTTTCAACATTTTCGTCTGCTCGGGCAGTTGATGATCGTTCAGAGCGAGGTTTGTCATCAATCAATATGTCGCCATTTTTAAATCGAGCAAACAACTCGTGCACCTGAGTTTTTCCCATAGCATCATCTTTGTAAGATATTTTCAACATTAACACATTTTCAGCAGCATTTTTACCAGTTAGAAAGCAAAATTTAAACGTAAAAAATGAAACAAGCACGAAACAACTCTAACAAAAATAATGACTACAGACGAACGGAACAAGCGAGATCGACAACTCAAGTGGCACTGAACTAACGAGTTGCGCTGTACGCCTCTAGGAGCAGAAATGTGTATACATAAGCTCCGCCCACTGCAATGCTATTCCGGTTATTCTTGGGTACCTCCTCGTATATACTAATTACACTGCTTCCGTCGTTCCAACCAACAGCGGGCGAGCCAGGTACAGCTGTTTCATGTTTATTGGTAATCATCAGCACAGCCTACGCTTGGTTTCTGATGGGACAATGAATGAAAGCAAAGCAAAGTATCCTCTAGCGAAGGTATAAGGTATATCCAAATATTATATTGCACAAGTGTCATCAAACTGTAAAGGTATCTCATTTTGCATTGAAAGTCAAGTCCTTACTGTTACCGATTGATGCCGTCGATTCTAAAGATTTAGTGGATGGTCCTCTACTGGCCATTGAAAACTCATAATCATTAGTAGTAATCAGAATTATTAGTCTTCAATGGCGATTCGACTGTCACCTGCTACTATTCGTCATTGTTCGTCAGAGCGGTCCGGTGGACCTTTGCCCTTAGTTAAAAGTCTCGTCGGTCTGTTAGTCTGTCAGGTCTGGCTACCCAGATACCAAACATGTTTAAGGGGAAAGGGGAAAGAAAGAAACAGAGCAAAGAAAAGAAGTAAATCATTTGAAATAGCTTAAGCATTATTGCTTTGAATACTCGAATAATTTTGTAACTCCAAAAAATAATTTTGATCAGTTTTGTATACTGAAATAGTTTTGGCTGGTCTGAATTCACAATTTAATTTTGATCACAGTGCGAGGCGCGGCCTGGAATGTTTGCGAACTTGCTCGACTGTGTAGTCTACTGAATCACGCAACAGAGTGTTGTTGTGCGATTCGGCTTGATTACTAGCATCTGCTAGTTCGCCAGAATTGACGGCAATTGACGGTCACAGTGGATGGTACTTGTGCGAACAGTTTATAACACGAGTTCCCCCTCAAGACAGTCTGTTCTGATAGGACACCAGCTACTTGTGACATGATCACACTCATTCTTTGATTTGGTACCTTCATCTGCACGTCCAAGACCTGTGAGAGGGATAAAACACCGTGTACCAAAGGTAAACAAATTACTCGAACACGGACCGAACCTTGGAGAACCATTTAAATACAAAGGGTGTATGGAAGGTCGATGACGACCAAAACGTATCTGTAGACGTCCAAAAAAATCTTAGCTCCATGATAAGAAAAGAAGAACATGAAGCAGCTAGTCTTAAAATGAATATGTCCAAATGTGAAAGCTAATGGTTCGAAAAGATGAAGCTCATGACCTACTTGTGGAATCTGATAAAACCGAAGGCGAGGAAGCCTGTAAATACTTAGGAGTAACTTTTAACAAAAAAGAAATACATTTATAACGAAACATAAGCAAGATTTAATAAAAACAGATCTCTAGGAAATTGAAACAAAAAAGATAGAAAAAGCACATATAGAAATAACGCTCAAGGTGTCATCCTCTATTGTTTGGAGGTTTAGGATGTTACAAAAGTAGTAGTATACCTATATCTACGGAAATAAACTTCTCAAGGAGAAGCTGTGACCGGTCATTGCTCGAATGCATTAGAACCACATTAGAAATTATATGAAATAAACTAAATTATTTATACCTAGATAAGGAGAGAGAGAGATGATGAAAAACGACAATAATTCTAGTTTGGATATGTGAACAGGAGGAGTGACGAAAGATGGTCCCGGAAAGTATAATAATGGGTTTCTCCTTCCAAAAAAGACAGACAGTCGTCAAGTAGCTCGAGACATGTTGTGATGACAGCTGGGATTTCGAAAAGGATGAAACATTGAATAGGAAAAAATGGAGACTGGGGGCGACAGCTGTAAAACATTCCGTTATATGTATGAATAGGTGGATGAAGCTGATGGACTGTCCGGCATTAAAAAATGAACCGCAGACTTAATCTTGTGATGCCTCTTTTAAGGAAATTTGGTGTTAATCTAAACCATAGCCGTCTCAGAATGCAGGTGTAGCTTGATAGGTGGATGAACCCTTGGTAGAATGTCGTGCGCGGTCGGTGACCCAGCAGTAGTCCCGGCCGGGCCTCCGCCGCCCACGCTTTGGGGGCGGGTCGCCAGTGCTACGAGCCGCGCCGCGCTCGACCAGCAACTGGGTCGTGAACGCGCGCACAGAAACGCGCCGTCGCGACGCGTGATGCGCCCACGTTGGCAACTACTGGATGGTTTTACTATTCCTAGAGGGTGATTTCTATAGGGTAGATCATACAGGATGTCACAGGGTTGATGCTACAACTAAGAAAAAGTTCTCTTCTTGGAATTGTTACGTACAGTGGTGTTGATCATGTATGCTATACAGGGTACCGGAACCCTTGCAAATGCTTCCATTAACCTTACGCTCGAGGATGAAAAAGATCAGTCTAAAGCTTGATGCGGGTAGAAACAACTCCATGTTTCTCTAGAAATTGGTCTTTACTGACATTTCGGCTACAACGGCAGTCTTTTTTCTTAGTACAGATAAAAATGACAATGACAACATGTTTTATACTAGTCTGTCTTTTAGGTGACAGTCTATTTGTTTTTCCATTACTATGGCTCATGAGCTATAACATTATACTTCTTTGCTCTGGGAGCGATTGCCTGAACAGTTCCGAACCTGGTCTTTCTGTTGATATAATCCTTCACGTTCATAGTAAAACGTTATAGAAGTCAAATTGATTAACAGTGTATTTTTCCTGTGATTTCTTATGAACTAATCCTCATCCCTCAAGGCAATCATAATTTAGGTAACATGTAATTATTGAATGTATCAACATAAGTCCGTCGCATATCGTTTTTCATACACGTTCCTATAGTTTAATCTTCTCTAATCGTCGGACAGCATTGTGATAATCCATCAGTTGAAGAGCTCTTGCAACTGGATAACGATGAAACATACACGGCTGCCTCATGTTTGATTTTGTCGATAACTAGGGGAATAATATATCTATTCCAAGCATATCAAGAGGCAATGGATTTAAATTGCTGAAATATTTTAATAACTGGATTATTTGAAACAAACCCTTTGTTGAAAGCAGTACCAGCGGTTTTTAGATCTGGTTTCAGATAAGGCGAAGAGCTTCGAGAATCGCCCCAGTACCCAGCAAAGACCAAGCATTTGAATCTTTCTCTTGATAATACATCATGCTTTGACTAATACATAATACAGAGAGATAAAAATAAAATAAGTAGGATCCTAAAAACCATACAGAAGTAATACTGGAAATTGGTTCCTCTTGAACGACCCTTAAACATTAAGAAAGTAGAAGAAGTCAGGAAAATTCAAAGGTGAATATTTAGCCAGGGACAAACAGGGGCGCAGTTTCTACAAACCAAAAATCTGAAGACCATGGGCGCCCAATGGGCGGGACAGGGGGGGGCATATCCCCCCCTGGCTTCTGCTTCAAAGTGAAATATTCTTAATAAGATACCCAATCCTTGGTTGAGAAGTGGCGTGTGAGTTTTTTTTTGCTGTTCAAAACATCCCATCATCCCTAGTTCTCAGCATTTTTTATCCTGCACAACCTGTAAACCAAACATGCCCCCCTGGATTTTGCTGTATGGGCGGTCATGCTGAAGACGTTTCGGATTATTCATTAATTTTGTAATTATCTCGGAGACTCTAAGGTATACTTTGCTAAAATAATGTGGTTCGCTTTGTTATCTTGAAAGACTGATTGCGTGTTCAATAAAAGCTATTTAATTATTCCTTGGGTAACGCATTCTATTTAGTTAAAACTAAAATTTTCTAAATATAACATTCTGCGGTGTTTATAGCAACTCTGACGTGACTTATATGATGGATATATATATATATATATATATATATATATATATATATATACATACCATATGGCCACCCAACATAAGCTTTCAACGTGACGAGATGTCCTGGAAGGCAGTTCTCTCAAAACATTTATTAAGTGTTGGGCTGTAACTCCATACTATTGGAACCACAAGTCCCCTAATCACTCTTTTTCAATGAGGTCTCCCAATTTGGGTAGAAAAAAATCATTCAACATAGAAACACCCTGTGCAGAATTCACATAATTCAAAGAACTACGGGCCTTCATAACTTGTGATACGGCACACTACGCCGCATGTCAGCATTCATGACAGTGTGGTGTGCCGTATCACAATTTGGCATGATAGACCCGTAATTTTCGGAGTTCTGTGAATTTTGCACACGACGTTTCGACGTCAAACGATCTTTTACAACCCAAATTAGAATAGTTCGTTGAGAAAAAGGAATAAGAGGACTGGCGGTTCTAATAGTATCAAACAGTCC